ATAAAAAATATATTTTTAAAAATAGAAAATTTGGGCATCAGCCAACCATTCATTGTGCTTTTTCACGGCTTGGTGAGACGAGCGGCGAGCTATGCAATCCAACTCGTGAATAATGAAATTTTCGATTGAGGCTTTCACAATAGTGAATTTGGATATCCCTTTGTGAATGTCTAAAACATAAATTGCTAATGCTGATAGGCTTAAGCTTATATTATTGATGAAGAGAAAAAAACGCTATATGTGGCAATACAAGTAAATTTCAAATATTTCACGTAAGAGAGAGATTAAGTAGATTAACAACTCTAAGTATGAATTTTTTAACAGTCATTTTTTCAAATCGTCTTTTTCTTTTTCTTCGTTTCTTTCTCGCGAATAAGGACTTCAAGGATACGTAAACCAATTGAAATGTATTACATTTTTTAATCAATAATTTTAATTTGGTAAATCAAATATGAATACAAAAAGTCATTCAGCTTGGTTTTTTAGTCCTTTTAATATTCGGTTTTGATTTGTTAAATTTATTGATTAAAATATATTCCATTTCCATTAATTTATAGGTCCTTTTTGTATTCGGTTTATTTTTTATTTGTTTAATTTTTTGAGCCTATATCTTTTAATTTTAAATTTAATTTAATCAATAATTTAATCAACACATATTCTTTTGTTGTTGGAATTTAATCAACTGCTAAATATTTTATTTCTTACATAATTGAATGATTTATAATTTCATAGATTTGATAAGTTGAACCTTTCATGTGACGATGATAAGTGCACCTTGTTTTATTTTAGTCAGTATAGACATTTAAATTACAATGGATAAATCATTAGTTAATAATACAAAATGAAGGTATATGTATTAATTATCAAGCATATTTTTCTAAAAACACATAACCGATAGCTGTCTTGCTCATTAAAATTTACGTGATTCATTATATTTTGATTCAACAAATATCTTCATTTGTACCGTTTTAAAATGCGCCGTTTTAAAATTATTAATTTAAAATGAAACGCAACATTCTCGCCGGCTGCGTTCTCATTTTATTAACCCCGGTGCATATACCTACACAAAATCGCCAGGATTTCTATCTACTTTGAAAATGGATGACCGGCGTTGTTTCGGTCCCCTTGATATTGCATCTGCGTGCAGATATATCACGAAGTTATCAGTTCCCTGTAGAATCCACCACGATCTCGCACATTTGTGACGCCACTTCCGGCATGGGAAACAAAACGTGGGCTGGGCGCCGCATTGACCGGCAAAACGACGCGATTCACTCGCAACTTTCGCAATAAATCAACAACAGAGATGCGTAAACAATTTCTATCATCTACCCGCCGGGACTAGTGGAGAGATCAATCACATGACGCGCGATGGTGGCGCGATTTAATTATTCAGCCTAGTCGCCGATCGATTGTATGAAAGATCGCAATGATGAGAACTTCGAACACATATATAGCGATTACGCAAACTAAATGCTATATGTCGAGAGTGACTATGAATAAGCTTCGATTTTTTGCCTACTTACTTATATACTCGTATATTTGTGAATTTAGCACATCATGCGGTATATAATTCTCTGTATTGGTATGCCATAAACATCAACATAGAGTAGATTTTACACCCATTTACAATGATTTAAAATCCATAATATTAAATCTCAATATAACACAGATCATTCTAGCAATATTGCAGTAACATTGCAACATTCCAGTAATATTGTAACATTGAAAATGTTACAACAATACTGTAAGCTTTTGTGCTGTATTTATTTATTATATATAATTCTCACTGTATTGATGTACAGTATGTAGATTTAAGACTTATTGAAAATTTATTTGATGATTTAAAACTTATTTTATTAAATCAACATCAACACAAAGAGAATATATTTAATACCCATGTTAAATCCTCATATAAAGTACAAATTATTCCAGCAATATTGCAGCCACATTACAGTGTTCCAGTAATATTGCAGAAACATTGCAACTATATAAGTTCTATGCTGTATAAGACGTACATTACACTCATATTCTTTAGCAATCTGTTGTATAACTTTGAGCGACCTGCGCTGTTTGAATATTCTTAGATTTATGTATATCTCCAAATATTTTATCATGTTTTATATTTTCCTAAAAAAATTCTGTAATAAAAATAGAAAATAAATAAGAGAGAAAGAAAAGAAAATAAAAAAAAACTTCGAAACAGGATCGCTGAACTGTCGAAGGATGTGTTGAAAATCCAATGTTGATAATTAAAAAATTTTTGATATTTCGATACGATGATTGTAATATAGGAATTTAGGAAATAAATATAATGATCCCGCCGAGAGATATGTATTTCCAGTCAGTGCTGCAGCGTTCAGAATGACGAGGGCGACACCGTTGGCCTTGCAAGGCAATCGGTCGAATATATGTACATGTAAAAGCGCGCCGTGTGCGATTCTGCATTTTAAATCATACCCCCGGCTTTTCAACGACGGCAGCTGTCCCGATCCAACTGCCAATAGCACGAACGTTATGAATCCGGTCAATTTGCCGCGTTTAGTCTTTAAATATAGGCGTATCGTTGTTATCCCCGATTTTACGATACGAAGCGCGGTTTTTTATTGCTGCGAGAGTTTTTATGCAGATCTATCGAAAAAGCGTGATGGCAATAACAATCGTGACCATTAATAATCATCATTCATCTCATTGATTATTAGCGATTTACGACAACAAAGTCGATTTTATATTGTATTTATTGCGATGTGTAATTTCCAAAGCGGGATATTTAATTAATAAAATTTTTTATAATATCAAGAATATATATATTATAATATTTCGGTTTCCAAAATTGTCGTTTAAAGAGGCGTGGATGTATTTCACAAATGATACTAAAATAATAAGTCTTTAAAATTTCTATTGAATTATCTTCGATTGAAACAAATCAGAAAGCTATTATTTCTATCTTTGCTCTCCTCTCTTCTCTTTCTCTACGTGTTTTCACAGTGGAATCGATACTGAATTTATTATTGCCGTGACATACATATTCATCGTGACAGGCGTCACTCAGAACATAGGAACTAAATCTACTGGAAGTGAAATCGTAACTCTCACGTTGCGTTCACGGCGGACTTTCTTGATTGATGCTGATGAATTTTTATGCGCCTCATCCATTGATTCGCTGTTGTCGCTGCGCGATAAAACGAGGAGCAACGTCTAAAGGGACAAAGCAAGGGTGGAAAAAGAGCATAGCTGATAAAAGTTCAGCGATACACAAACGTGAAATCCCAGGAGCATTGGCCATGTGAATTACAACATTGAATACATGGCACATTTTTTACTAGCACTATATTATCGTTTCGAACGAAATAGGAACTTACAATCCAATTATTATAATATACAATATTTTAAAAGTTCGCAATATTTACTAGGGTTCCACTTTGGATTCGAATTTAAATAAAAATGGTAGATTTAATCATATACAATCCGATAATACGAGATATATTTAATATTTCTCGCATACAAAATTTCATAAAAAATTCTTTAGAATATCTCGCTACTTTAAAAGTAGCAACACAAAAAATTAACCCTTCTACAATCATATTTTGGCTCTCTTCATCTGCACCTCTTTTTTAATAGCTTAAGTTTTTTTCAATGTCCTAGATTTTCAAAAAATGTGCAAAAATTCAAAGTTACTTTTCAATATTCATTTCTATTACATTACTAAATAAAAATATGGTAAGATATTTTAAGAAAAGGAACCGAATTTCTCCCTTTATTTCGGAGAAAGAGAATGAAATTTCATCTGTGTAAAAAAACCCAGATTACAAACGAAGATTAAGTCTAGAAAAAAGAAAAACTATTTTTCAATTTAACAGAAAATTACTGATTAATCAAATATCGTGGAAGGAATATTTTCTTAATTTTGTCAAATGTTATTTTTATCATTTTTGTTTCACAATCTTTAAAAAATCTTTTTGGAGTTGTAATGACAATTTCTTAAAAAGACCATCTTCTTTAAGTGTCATGATTTTAATAACTTTTTTAAAACGAAGTTAAGTTAGCTTGGGTACTTTTGATGATTCCCAAAATAATATTTACTTATAACTTATTCATGATAATAACAAGAAAAATCATGTTTTTTTTTTCGTGTTATGTTACTTTTTTGAAATAAGAGAGCGATATATTACTTTCCAGCATGAATTAAACTTGACAGAAAGTCGACAAAGAGAAACGGTACGTGCGTAGAATTAGAAAACAAATATTTTCTTTCTGGGTAAAAGTCGTATCAATTTGCATTTCTAATTAGCAATTAGCATAAAGCTAATTTCTTATTACTTGGCACGAGAAGAGCAGCATACGGCGTTCAATACAGCGTTCATATACAGCAAGGCGTTCTCCTGTAATCTCACGTATTTCAGTTAAACGAAACTACAAAGTGGACAATATCCGTCGAATTATTTAACGTATCGTACTTGCATTGTTATACTCCAGCGCGTTGTTGGCGTACCAGGTCGGCTTTAAACGAGTATTTCATAAAAAAATAAACAAAATATTTTTACGGTCGAACAGGGGTTGTTGTACATTTTGTAGAAACAGATCCCTCAAAGGATAAATGAAAAATATTGCGTAAATCGTTGAATTGTTGCCATACGTGTGCAAGTGCAATGAATTGAAATACTCTTTTGTATCCTAGTTTGGTTACAAAAAGTACAACACGATTGATTTTGCGCGAGATTTGCGCACTTAGATATACTATCCTTAATCCAATTTACTCTTGTCATCTCTTTCATTCATTTTAATTCGCATTACTTTTAATTAAAAGAATAAAAAAGAAAAAGTTAATACAAAGAGGATCGAAAATAAATATTATAGTCATGTTTTTAAGCATTTTTTCCATAAAAAAAAATTTCTCATAAAAATTTGTCTCATAAAAATTTGTCTCCATAAAGAAAACAAGGAAACACTTGTAAAAGAATTCTAATGAAGAATAAATATATTTTCATTAGATTATTTACCCTCGTAAACCCAGTCCGGTACGCCATTGTAAATAGTTCCAAACACTCCCGTGTTGGTTATTTGATAGTCATTAGCCACCTCTGCTTCCGGTCTATAGTAGATATTATTTTGGTGAACGTAGATCAGAGCATTGCCTCGGGGTGCCCAAGTCGCGAGTTGCAACGGTGTCGACTCATTTGCCGCCAATATCGTCTCCGTTCTGTAAATATAACAATAACGTGTTTTGTAATACAATGAAAACAATGGTTTGTAGTTAGGTATTTCTTGCTTGCATACTCTGTCCAAGATGGACCATTCACAGTTTTCACGTTTTCCCAAAAAAAAACCGATAACTTTCCTCCTTTTTTGTATTTTCGATATCATATTTCCCGCTGTAAATAAAAAGTTCAACAGTCAATCCCGAAGGATATTATGCTTCAAAGACGAATAGTCACGATAAAAATGTGATGAATGCAAGAATATTTTTTATTATTTGAAACAACAGAATTACAAAAAAAAATAATAGAATTCTGGAAAGTAATAGAATATGCATACATAAACACACTATCGTTTTAAATTAAGAAGTAAAAATACTGCGAAATGATGCTAACCGTTAACTAGGTGCATTACAGCACTGAATGCAAAATTTGTTTTTCTGAAAAATCATTGATAATGCGGTCTTTTTTTTATTACCTTTGATATTTCTCTCTTAACGTCTCAATCATAAAATAACGCAATTATCATATTTTTCCTATTAAGTTGATCTTTTATTCACTCTAAAATCCGTATGTTTTGCGGCACGGAATGCCGCGCGCGTCTTAAAACGCAAATAAAATCTTGCTTATAAAAATAATAGTAATAATGCGAGATGTTGAACTGTTCCCCACATTTTAATTTATTTTTACTCATATTAGTGTTTAATCTCTTTAGGTTAAAGTTAAGTTATATTGTAAATAAACAGCTCAAACAAATTTGCTATTAGTAGCTATAATAGGCGGGTTTCTAATCCATGAAGCTAGAGCGGGGCGCGGGGCGGGCGAGAAGGCGCAGGAAAGGTCCTGGCGCTATCGATGTTTACATAAACATAAGACTCCAGTCAATTGATTACATAAACATGACATTCCGCTATGAATTCCGTATTTTTTTCATCATCCGCCGCCACCATCCGCCACCGCCCTTCCCAAAAATGCATCGATAACAAAGGCTTGCATATATTTACGACATACTTACCATCTCTCTCCCTCTTATGTTTCGTCACTTTTCCCGCCGCATTGTCGCTCTCGTTGTACCTTCTTCTCGCACGCAAAAATATTTTATCATACGTTTTTTATTTAATGATTTAAATAGAGAGAACGCTTAATACGGTCGTGACTGTCTGCCGCAGTACGTTGAGCGCGAAGATGCTAATGGCACGCGTAATATGATAGTGCTGCGGTAATAAGAAAGGAATGATAATGTCATATACCCAGATATATAATTTAAATATGCGTTTACTTTTATATATAATGTAATTTTACAATATACAGCTCTTATTATATAGTTCTTACAATATTTATAAGCAGGAACTTAATATAATTTAATTTAATTTAATTAATTTCAAATAGAATTTTAAGCACCGATTAGCAATAAAATGTACATTTACTTTTCACACTGTTTTACAATATTATCTAAAGCATAAACTATTAACTCGCATTCTATATTTGATTTTTTATTATAAATTTTGCGCAAAAAGTCTACAGCATCACATTTATCGATGATACAATTTTCACCCAAAAGTGTTACAAAATATTTAAATTTTTTATTGACGATGTGCGTATACTGGCACAGCTCAGAGTATATACGTTCTCGACGCAATGTTTGAGTTCGAAGAAGAGCACGGTTGACGGCTTCATACGAGTATATAGACATGTTTCGCGCAGTACCATTCACATCACGCATTTTTACGATTTCTATCATTAGATCTTGGACCGATAATGATGAAAGTGCGATTGATTGCACGAACTGCTTAATATCCGTCCGTCTTTCGATGAAAGCATGCCACATTTCACAAGGCAAGATTATGTTGTTACCTGGGTTGTCATCATAAAAGTGAAATTTTACATATCTTTATAAATATAGTGTTAGTTTTTCAGAATAATGATATAACAAATAATATGTTTGCATACAGATGTACATCACTGGTATCTAAGTCATAGCAAAGAATTCGTTCCTCGCATATGTATGTTAAAAACGTTATGATATCTTTTTAAAGTTATAAAAGATTAATATTGTCAACTGATCCCTTGGATAAAAATAAATAAGTTAATAAAGTTTATTTCTTCGAGAAATTCGATATCGTCAAAGTGCATTCTTATATATGTGTCATTGCATAATTTAATGTAGGTTTGATGGCAATTGCACTGAAAATTAACTCGCATATTTGTAAAGACACGTAAAATTCTACATTGAATACACCATCCGAAAGAAAAAATAAATAAATAAAAAAAAATAAAAAAATTAATCATATAAAAATAATGAAATAGAAAACGCATGAAAGATAGCTCTAATACATCAACCACTCAGTGTAGTTATCGTCGCAGTCATCGCATTAAAAAACTCTATAATTACGTAAATTTAAATCTTCCTACATGTCATTGTACGATTCATGGTGTTATTGATGGAACAATACATACAGCGAAGCTCATCCACACATAGACGTTGTGGAACATACGAGTATATTATATTCTAATTATGATATCTATGTATATTAAAGTAAGAGACAGTAAGTTTATTTAATTTTTATAAAATTTTGATTATATATTTTATATGTTATGTACTTTTCTAAAGTCTATTTACATGTTTTCTATTTTCTACAGCGCATCTTTTTATACACCTTCGAAACCTCGCGTACGTACCTCATATCTTAATGAGGAAATATGTATTGACATTGACAACGTATAAGTTTCTTGGACATCGGGATTGTCGTAGAATCTACGTCTTAGACGATAGACATAGAAATTGCGATCAGCGACAATCGAGGCAATCGCATAATTCTGCTTCATGCTACGCGTCCATCGAGAGACGTGCAGATATTGAACGATTAATGCAGTCAACTGTCCCATCATTATTATCATCATCACTGATTCAAGATCTGAATGTAGAATTTGTTAAAGTATATAAATAATGTGATTCGAAAAACGTAAAATTGTCATTGTATGATATATGCTTGTACATGAAATCATCAACCATACTTTTCTTTTGAGCTCGAGCAATGTCGAGCATGCATATTAAGTCAATGTACACACGGTGTCAGTGAAAAATTCAAATATTTTGTATCATTTTTTAAGACAAAATTGTATTACTAATAAACGCGATGCTGCAAACACTTTGCACAAAATTTATGATAAAAATTCTATTATGGAATGTGAACTAGTGGTCTATAGTTTAAATTATATTGTACATGCTGTATTAAAAATTAGATAAATAAATCTATATTAAAAAATATACATATTTCTTTAAAAATTAATCTTTTCCCTAATCTCTTCATCAATCCTTCTTCACATCTTTGTGATAATAAATTATTTAATAAAAAAGCGCATCCGGCTAATCGACCTATGTCATTAAATTGTGCTCGTACCATTCTATTATCTAAAATCGCATCATAAAGTCATAAAATGAATACCATATCTTTTTAATAAAATCGCGTGCGAGAGAATATATATGAACACTTTGTGACTACTATACGCCAAAATTATATAATATGAACAATAAATGTAATGTATTAAAAGATTGCGTGAAGTTTATGATGAAACTTTAACCATGGAGTGTGAATTAGTAATGTGCGCCTCAGATGAAATTGTATACACTGCGTTATTATTAAAATAAGAAATAAATTAATGTTTTATAGAAAAATGTATAATATGATATTTAAATATATTACTGAATTTTTTAAATTATTTCCTTTTTCCGTGCCTGTATTCGGCGGTTTAGAATTATGTATGATAAGAAGGTATGCAATTTTTTCTCAAATAAGTTAATCAAATTATTAAAATAAAAATTAAATAATAAGAAATTATAATTCTAATCTCTATACTACTGTGGGCAAAAAGTATCGATAATTTGTTTGTTTTTCAAAAATTCTTTATTTATTCATCCACATTCGTATCATCCCCCTCAAAGTAGTCCCCCCCGGTTGCAATGCAACTGTGCCAACGCTTTTTCCAATTTTCGAAACATGCCGCATAGTCGTCTGTAGGTATGGCCCGCAGCTCACTCGTCGTTTTTTCTTTTATCTCTTCAATCTCGAAACGGTGTCCACGGAGTGGCCTTTTGAGTTTTGAGAACAGCCAGAAGTCAGATGGTGCTAAGTCAGGCGAATACGGTGGTTGTGGAATGATATGAGTTGAGTTTTTGGCGAAATGGTCACGAACTACGAGTGATGTGTGCGACGGCGCCATGCAAAAACTCTTGCTTGTGACAAAGCGCCATCACCGTACGCCTTCTGACACATTCTCAACGTTTCGGCTGCAGAAATTCCATTCCGGACACAAAATTTTATCGCACTTCGTTGTTCCATAATTTCAGACATTTCAAAAAACGACAAATCACTTTTTACGTGCTTACAAACAGACGCTTATCTCAAACACTAATGACTATTTTGACGTGTACCTTGGCGCAGCTGTCACTGACAGAATTGCCAACTTCAAAATAAATTCGGTTGTCCCTATCGGAAACCCCGGGAAATTTAAATTTGAAATTATCGATACTTTTTGCCCACAGTAGTATTTCTTTCTGGGTGTCCTCTACAATCCTAAAATATTTTTTTCGCTCCCTTCTATGACATCATCTGTTTGTCACGAAACCTGCACATTCCTGTTTCTCCTTACCGCGAATGGAAAAAAAATCTTCTTTCTCTATAGTTATTTAGAATTAATGAATAATATGATAGCTGTGCAGTAGTCCGACGTAGTACGTAGTAATAAGTGTTCGATAGCTACTCAATAATAGTTTATAATGGCTTGATATTTAGGAACGCTCAGCTATTTGTATTACGTTACATTACTAAAAATATTATTATAATTAGTTGCTAAATTAAAATCATTGCTAATTCATATCATTAAAAAATCGTAAAACAAATACCATATTTATTTAATAAAATTGTGAGCAAAAATAAAAGAGAACATGGGAGAGAATATAACGGGAAGAAGAGAGAGCACGAATATTATAAGTATAGAACCACGATAGGTAAAAGAGAGAGCACGAATACTATGGCGAGTATAGGACTACAACTGGTGGGACATATATCATTATGCGCACTATTTAGTGTACGTCGCAATGCATCTTTAAATTTTATATCATTATACATACAATTTGACAATGTCGCAATGTATCAAAATTACATTCATGATGTCATCGCGAAATATGTCGTATTAATACGTTCAATATCTTTAAAAAAATCTTTTATTACACTAACAAAGCTGTCGTATATCGGCGCTTGCATTTTTAATCTCTCGCTTGTATTGATTGAACAATTCCACATGCATTCCTAAAGAAATGTGATGAAGAGGGCGAAACTTAGAAAGAGTTCGGGCAATGTTACTGCATCAGTCGTTCAGACGGACTGCTACTGCAACGCTTTTCAAACATATACGATTCTCCATGACATATTACGTTCCTACTCAAGATAAAGAGTTTTATAAACAGTAAGTTTTATTTTATAAATTTTTTTTATATTTTCTTTTCTCTACAGTTTGTTTATCTGTTTTCTTTTTTTCTCTATTATACTTTCTTCTGCAGTGCATCTTCTTGTAATAAACCCCGTCATACATCTCGTATATTGGGAAGAAGGTTTACACTGATTCCTACAGCTTACAAATATCTGGATGTCGGAATCGTCGTGGGATCTGTCTTTTGTGGAAATTGCAATTGGTGACAACCAAGATAACATAATCTTGCCTCGTAAAATGTGGCATGCTTTCATCGAAAGATGCACGGATATTGAGCGGTTCGTGTAATCAATCGCACTTTCATCATTATCGGTCCAAGATCTAATGATAGAAATCGTAAAAATGCGTGATGTGAATGGTATTGCGCGAAACATGTGTATATATGAAACCGTCAACCGTGCTCTTCTTCGAACTCAAACATTGCATCGAAAACGTATACTCTGAGCTGTGTCAATATACGCACATCGTCAATGAAAAATTTAAATATTTTGTAACACTTTTCGATGAAAATTGTATCATCGATAAATGTGATGCTGTAGATTTTTTGCGCAAAATTTATAATAAAAAATCAAATATAGAGTGCGAGTTAATAGTTTATGATGCTTTAGATAATATTGTAACAGTGTGAAAAGTAAATGTACATTTTATTGCTAATCGGTGCTTAAAATTCTATTTGAAATTAATTAAATTAAATTATATTATATTAAGTTCCTGCTTATAAATATTGTAAGAACTATATAATAAGAGCTGTATATTGTAAAATTACATTATATATAAAAGTAAACGCATATTTAAATTATATATCTGGGTATATGATATTATCATTCCTTTCTTATTACCGCAGCGCTATCATATTACGCGCGCCATCAGCATCTTCGTGCTCAACATACTGCGGCAGACAGTCACGATCATATTAAGCGTTCTCTCTATTTAAATCATTAAATAAAAAACGTATGATAAAATATTTTTGCGTGCGAGAAGAAGATACAACGGGAGCGACAACGCGACGGGAAAAGTGACGAAACATAAGAGGGAGAGAGATGGTAAGTATGAGGTAAATATATGCAAGCCTTTGTTATCGATGCATTTTTGGGAAAGGCGGTGGCGAACGGCGGCAGCGGGTGACGAAAAAAATACGGAACACATAGCGGAATGTCATCAATCGACCGGTCTTATGTTCATGTAAACATCGAAAGCGAATTAATGTCTTTATTTTTTAATACTGTTATTATTTTCTTATATTTAATTCTAAATTATGTTTTTTATTTTTTAATAAATCTCTCAATTTTTATCTTATTTTTAATTTTCTAGTTCCGGAAAAGAATATTTCATGTATAATTACCTATGTATAATTATATAAAATTATATGAAAAATTTACATGTTTTATATAGAGTTATTTATATATAAAATATATAACTTTTTTCCCGAGATTATATTTAATTATACTTTTAATTTTATAAGATAGTAGACATTAAATTTTAACATTATATTTTTTTATAAATTCATTTTACTTGCTTTTATAATGATTGTATAATTATTTATCCAATTATTATAACTCCTAAATAATATATTTGTCATGCGGCACTCAGTGCCGCGCGCGCCCACTATCGTTTGTAAGCGCACTCTTAAGGGGATCTTAAAGCCGTCTGTATTACCGATTAAATTATATAATATTTGTATTACAATATTTTATTTTCTTTCGCAGATTCAAAAATCTTTTTTCAAAATTAAAATATACCCATTAATATGTGTTTGTGAGATGGAGTTTATGCCGAGAATGACCTAAAATTTTGGAATTGATATTTTTTTACCATTTCTTAGTGTAACATGGCGTCTCAAGTTGTCAAGTTGTCACAACATTTGCTTGATACGAAAGTTTTGCAACCTGTACTAAATCCACAAACACGTAGTTTGCACGAACAAAAAACGTCAAGTTCTTAGAATTAAACTTATATGCTTTATCATGAATTTGTTCTCGAATTAAACTTATATGAAAATTGAACATACGACTGCGTGTATTATAGATTGCGTGAGATATTGGTGTGATAGAATATATGATGTTGCAGCCGCGGTTTCGGGATCGTAAGATTTTCAATAATATTAGACACTTCTTCGCATTTTACACGAACACGCTACTTTATTACAAAAACATTAAGAGCATACGGCTCGGATCATCTGTCAATCTTTGAGCGT